AAAAACAAACATACATACTCCCCTCTATGCTTCAGCTGTTCCCTGCCGGCTCTAAGCACTGATCATGACACACGACTATTGATTTCTAAGTTCTCAGCAGAGACAATTGACTTTCACTCACTGCTTTCTGCCCCTCCGTTGCTTACTGGAGCACCAGGCTGGGGAGGGACAGGCACAGCTGGCTTCAGCTCTCAACCATGTGCTGAGAAGCGGAGCAATCTGTCATTCAGGCAGCTGGGTAAATCTCGGCAATATAGTCAGGATCCTTCCAGAACCTGGAGCAACTCTGTGACACTAAATCCCACTGTCAGCTGATTCTGTGTTACAGGACAACAAAAGTAAGTGCACTCCTGTGACCCACAGGACAAGCATGGCCAAAAGTCACATCTGTGCCCACTCCGTTTCAACAAAGCAGAAACCTTTTAGCTCCATGGGCAACAATCATTTAGTCCTTTTTGCCTTTTTTTTAGTGGACCTAATTGGACCCAGAGGTAGATGGGTGTAAACGGACACAAGTCTGTTTACACTTACCTGTCCATAGGGCTCTATGGACCTTCTGATCAGATCTACCTGAAAAAACTGGCAGGCTTTCCTGATCAGACCAACTGTGTGTCAACAGCCTGTGCTCCTTCTGTAACTCTATCCTATCGTGTCCGATGTAACTCTGTCTTTTAATAAGAGGCCCCTCATTAGCTGCACCCAGACGATTTCAAAAGCGCAAATATTCTGGTCACCACCTGCTGAGGAGGTAAGTATAAGCCACCTTCTTTTACAGGGTATAGCTGGTTGAGCATTTTCCTCTCACTGATAGGGTCACCCTAATACTGTCCTGTAAGCATATGGTGATGTCTGGTTACAAGCCCTTCTTCTCCGCCCCTCTCGGTCAGCTAATGAGTTTGAAAGTGACAGTCACCTGCAGGGTGGATTTGATTTAAATCACGATTTAAATCACGATTTAAATCACTAGTCAGTAAGGCTTGATTTAAATCATAGTTTTCTACATAAAGACTAATTCTTGCTGGTATAACTTTAATATGCAAGAAGATGAAGATTTTTAGAATAACAACTTTTCATATTAGTTTTTTTATCCCCAGTTTAATAGGTTAATCATTCATATTTGGACACTTTTTCTGTTGTACTTAGGAAGGAGAAAAATAATAATTACCTTAATAATAACAATTTAAATAGATTTATTCAACTGAAACAATAACATTACAGCATATGTTATTTGCTTAAACAAACATCCATGTTTGTTAACTAATTTGGCTAAACAAAATATATATATTTTAAGAAACTTAGACTGTCAGCCCCTTCCTCCTCACATTTAGTTTCACTTTCTTTTTGTGCAGATCTATTCCACTCCAAACAATCAGAAAAATATTGTTTCTATTCTATTCACTGAACTTCTTGAAACTTAGCACTGAAGGGGTTGATTCTGTATTCATAGGTTTGTAGAAATTAGGATGAAGGTCTTTTTTCTTAACTCTGTTCATGTTATAACATTTTTGCTGTGAAGAAGAGGCATGTGATCTCCGCTGAGTCAAATTCAGTTTTGAGAACTGCAAAAGTAAACCAAGCATCTGTGATAATATCTTGTAGGCAGAGAAACTGCCCAATAATCTTACAAAAACCTCTGGAAGAGCCTGACATTGTGAATGGATTAATGGAATTTATTTACCAAAAAAATTAAACATATACAGCCTTATTCTACATAATTAAAAAACTAATCTTTATTTCAACCTTTGGATGGTAATATATTTTCCTCAAAAAGCATTTTATTTTAAAAAATCCAATTTAAATTAAAAATCCGATTTTTTTTTTTTTTTTTTTTTTTTTTTTTTTTTTTTTTTTTTTTTTTAAAAATCATTGATTTTTATCCACCCTGGTCACATGGTCGAAAACAAATGTTATCCTTTTGTTAAATCTTATGAAATTTAGCCTATAGTGCGTGAATGATGATCCATTTTGAGAAGATAGGTTAGGGTCTGCTCAGTTTGAATGGCACCCCAGGGCACCTTGCCAACAGATGTGCGTTGTAGAGGTACATTGCCAAATAGCTGCATTCGGTTTTTTTGGTGCTTTAGTCTTCACGCACATTTTGATAACGCTGGTAACATTAGCTGTGTAAAGTCACGTTAAAAACGTGAGTTTTTCAGCTATTTTTAGCGTTTTTGCATTAGCGTTTAGCTGCGTTTTTCAGCGTTTGCGGTTTTTAGCAGGTTTTTTTTTCTACTGAAAAGAAAAAAAAAAAATAATTTTGGTAAAAAAAAGTCCAAAAACGCCGGTTTGCTTTAATCGGCATTAACTGAATGAAATCGGTTCATTCAGGACTTTTTGTTGTGATTAGCTGTGATTGGCCACGACTAATCACATGGCACAGATGGGCTGTGCTTGGTCCAGCCTGTGCATGTGATCACTCACCATTCACAGCTAGACACACTGGTATACAATGGATGGCATTAAAGGAAGCCATCCATGGTTTACAACTGTCATGTGACCTGCTGTGATTGGTCACAGCAGGTCACATGGTACTGGTAACGGGCTGGTACACAGATCTGTCATCGGCTGTGTCCGAGGTACACAGCCAGTGACAGATCTCGTGGCCCCATGGGCACGAGCAAGACGCGATCCGGGAAGGAAGTTATATGATGCCCACCCGGATCGACAACAGTCCAGACCGGCCGTCATTTTCCTATTGGTCGGGCAGGAAGTGGTTAAGTAGAATCTTCCCTCTATTTGTCTGGTAATCATTGTCACTGATAGAATTGATGGGAAATCCAAAGTTTTAGAGTTGGTTCCAGAACAAGAGGTGAGAGTAAATCTTTATATATCTATATTGTACCGCGCTCCAAACTTAACAACTCTAAGTGCTCTAAATAAATAAATATTATATATAACCAAATATTCAATAATAATCTATATCCATAATGCTTAAATCCATAATTGCATAATACTTAAATCCATGATTGAAGTGAATCAAAAAAAAAAATTCCATTAATATTTATAAATCAGTGCATAAAAAACTGCGTGCCTAAAAAGTGAAAAAATAAAAATAAAATAAAATAAAAATATAAAAAATGAAAAATATAAAAAAAATAAAGTAAAATAAACTGGAAGAAAATTTTATATAAGTTAATAATAGTTCAGTTCATACGAATTGAGATGGTGATATGGATCAATCTGATTTGCGTAGTAAGTCAATGTTCATGACATGAACCTCTCTCTCCTTCCTCCTGTCCTTTCTCCTCAATTCAACTTTTCTCAATCAAGACTTTCTCCTCTATCTGCTTAGGCTTATTCCTCCATAAACGATACATGCATAGAGAAGGGAAAAAGAAACATAGTGTCTTATCCTGAGTAAAAATGTTTAATGAGCTTCTGATCTCCCACTCACATGGTATCAGCAAAAGTAACGCTTTGTATAAATAAATCCAATTCCTCCTGCAAACAGCCCTGCAGGTGTGTGTGTGTTCACTCGCTATACTCGCCGTTTCCTCTGTGGATGCGTGATGACGTCACCGCCCCTCCCCTACGCGTTACGCTACAGGGACTCGTAGCTTCCTCTGGGGGATGTAGTTTTACTTTTTTTAAAAACTACATCCCCCAGAGGAAGCTACGAGTCCCTGTAGCGTAACGCGTAGGGGAGGGGCGGTGATGTCATCACGCATCCACAGAGGAAACGGCGAGTATAGCGAGTGAAGTGAAACACACACACACCTGCAGGGCTGTTTGCAGGAGGAATTGGATTTATTTATACAAAGCGTTACTTTTGCTGATACCATGTGAGTGGGAGATCAGAAGCTCATTAAACATTTTTACTCAGGATAAGACACTATGTTTCTTTTTCCCTTCTCTATGCATGTATCGTTTATGGAGGAATAAGCCTAAGCAGATAGAGGAGAAAGTCTTGATTGAGAAAAGTTGAATTGAGGAGAAAGGAGAAAGGAGAGGAGGAAGGAGAGAGAGGTTCATGTCATGAACATTGACTTACTACGCAAATCAGATTGATCCATATCACCATCTCAATTCGTATGAACTGAACTATTATTAACTTATATAAAATTTTCTTCCAGTTTATTTTACTTTATTTATTTTTTATATTTTTCATTTTTTATATTTTTATTTTATTTTATTTTATTTTTTTTTATTTTTTCACTTTTTAGGCACGCAGTTTTTTATGCACTGATTTATAAATATTAATGGAATTTTTTTTTTTTGATTCACTTCAATCATGGATTTAAGTATTATGCAATTATGGATATAGATTATTATTGAATATTTGGTTATATATAATATTTATTTTATTTAGAGCACTTAGAGTTGTTAAGTTTGGAGCGCGGTACAATATAGATATATGAAATTAACATCCATACACCTGGAGAGGGTGTAAAAAGTACCTGGCGATCTAAACATTTAATTATTTAATCAAGCACGTTAATTGATTTATTAGCCGTTTACTTTATTCATAAATTTAATATTATTAGCATTTTCATACACGGAATTAATTGCTTTATAAGTAAGAAAACTTCTAGTGGCTCACAAGTATTTCATTAATTTGCATTTTTAATTCGAGAGTAAATCTTTAAATGGGGTCAAATGTCTGAGAGGGGATTTCTTAATTTGTGGGGATTTTCTTGCACCTTCTGTTGTCACTGAAACAGGAAATGAAGTAAAATCTCTGTAAAAGTGAATGTGTAACCTTTCCGTACTCTTTGGCTATATACTGTGTATGATCTGCAGTACTTGTATTTGGACTTCCTGTCTTGTTTCAATTTCATACATGCATTAGTAATCCTGAGAGGTGATGGTTTACCATACCATACTCTATCAAAACGTTTAACTATACATATACTTAAAACAAACTTTTTATTGTCTTGTTTTACCATTTAGTACATGTAGCATTAAAGATCCTCTTGCCAAACGTATTTGGTGTTTGAGTGTTTCGTGAAGAGTAGAGCATTAACCAAATGTAATTATTGTGACCTTTTTTCTTCATTCTTCAGCTTTCCCGTGGTTTGGCATGGACATTGGTGGCACACTAGTGAAGCTAGCCTATTTTGAGCCTATTGACATTACAGCAGAAGAAGAGCAGGAGGAAGTAGAAAGCCTAAAGAGTATACGTAAATATCTGACTTCCAATATAGCCTATGGCTCCACAGGCATACGGGATGTTCACCTGGAGTTGAAAGACTTGACGCTGTTTGGTAGAACGGGAAATCTGCACTTTATTCGTTTTCCAACCCACGATCTACCAACATTTATTCAAATGGCAAGGGATAAAAATTTTTCAACTCTTCACACTGTTCTCTGTGCCACAGGAGGTGGGGCTTATAAATTTGAGGAAGAATTTCGTACAGTAGGTATCCTTAATTCAATTTTTAATCCCAGTTTGCATTTTTTCATATATTTTTGCCAAATGCATTTTTTTTTCAGTGGTTTTAGTTAAATTTCTTCTGCCTCTAAATCCCAACTCTGACACAAGATATTACTCTTGCAGTGGGGCCATCCATACTACAAGGGTTAAATGCTTGTTTAAAGTGGTATTAAACCCACATGCAAACATTTATTATGTTTCAGCTTGCCAATTCTTAGATGTGATGGCTGCATTACTTTTTTTTTTAGGCTTTCTTTCTTTTATTTTCAGCTGGTGATCCAGCCAGTTAGTCTGTTCTTTTTCAAAAGAACAAGCTGTCCTGCAGATGTAGCAATTACAGGTATGAGACAAGCCATTTGCCACTGACAGGGATCCTTATAATGATTAGTTTTTATTTTGTAAAACCTTTATCACAAAAGGAAAAAACTGTTTGCTGTAACTGCTTATAAAATGTTAGCTGGAGTTTGGCTTCAGTTTGTTTAGGTTATTTAAATCTGCTAGTGCATCTAACAATCCCCTCCCCCCAGATTAAGGCTCCATGCACACTGGACGTTTTAATAACGCTGGTAACGTTAGCTGTGTAAAGTCATGTTAAAAAAATATGAGTTTTTCAGCATTTCTTAGCGTTTTTGCATTAGTGTTTAGCCTCATTTTTTTCGTTTGCTTTTTGTAGCGGTTTTTTTTTTTTGCTCAAAAAAAGTGTAGAAACATCGTTTTGCCACGTTTTTCAGCATTAGAGCATTTTCACAGCTATAAAACTCCTCTAGAAACCTACTAGTTCTGGGGTTTTTTCCAGCCAAAAAACACTGATTACAGTCTGTGTGCATGGATACATAGGCTAACATGCTGGGGAGTTTACTGGCTGTAGAAAAAAATGTCAAAAGGTAAAAATTGCAGCTGTAAAAATGTCCAGTGTGCATGAGGACAAACAGTGCTGCTGTCCAAAGGTTCCCCTGTGCGTCTTTATCCAGATTGAAGGCACTCTAATACAGAGGCATGTTACTGGCCAGATCAGTAGGTGAAAACAGAGGGGAAAAGCCTAAAAAAACGAATGCTTGTGGGACGTTTGCAGCACTTCTCCATTTGCTTGCTGCCCGCTATTTGCTACTTGTCAGGTGAACTTTGCAGCGGACACAAAGTGAAGCATCGCACATGTAAACATCCCCATCTGCTGTTCATCTAAACAAAGCCTTGAGTTTTAGACCGATGTTAAAGCAGACCTTGAAGGAAAGTAAATGACAATCTATCTGTAGAATCAATGAACACCATAGGGTGCACGTAAGTGCAACAAGTTGAGGAATTTTTTCATAAAACTGTAAAAAATGTACTCACATTTAGTAGAGTAAAAGAAGGCATATCATAAAAGCAGAAGTATTCATCTCAGGGACCCAAGTCAAGCAGCAGCGATCTGGGGCCATGCAGTGCAAAGCTGCCAGCAGCATAGATGGCTACAATAACACCAGAGCCTATCTGACAGCATGGGAAAGTTCCTGAGGTAGCTCAGAGGACTAGAAAATAATGAGGTCTTGTCAGGCATGCATGCACAATGATGCTAGGAGTAATGGGACATTCAGACCCGAGGAGGGTAAGCAGGAGACTGTTGATGACCGAGTGATTGCTTGCCAACCAGGAAGTTCAGGAAGGCAGCACAGAGGAATCTGGAGGCTGCTACTGTAAAAATATAATTTTTTTTTTATATCAGTCCAGGGATTCTTTGGTCAAGAGGAATGTATTTAACAAAAATAACAAAATCTGAGACTTTACTATTAGTTTAAACTGAGACAATCCATTATTTCTAAGTGGTATTTTTTTCTAATATAGTAAGTGTATTGTTATTACTGTCTTTTCATAAATTTATCTATTTATTAAAAAAGTATTAGAACAACAATTAGCTCTTGTAATTTTTCTTTTCAGATTGGAAATCTTCAGCTGCACAAGGTGGATGAACTGGATTCCCTTGTGAAAGGATTGCTGTATATAGATTCTGTCAGTTTTAATGGACAGGCTGAGTGCTATTATTTTGAAAATGCTTCACACCCAGAACAGTGCCAGAAGATCCCATTTAATCTGGACGACCCCTACCCTTTACTAGTTGTGAACATTGGCTCTGGAGTCAGTATTCTAGCAGTTCATTCAAGGGACAACTACAAGAGAGTCTGTGGAACAAGGTAATAAACTATAATATTGCTATAGGCATAATACGTGTTTGTTTTTTTAATAACTGCTCTGTAAGATTTATACTAGTGGAAAGTAACAACTTGCTGTTTATCTTTTTTTATTTTTCAGTCTTGGTGGTGGGACCTTCCTTGGCCTTTGCAGTTTACTTACTGGCTGTGATAGTTTTGAAGAAGCTCTGGAAATGGCATCATCTGGTGATAGCACAAAAGCAGATAAATTGGTACGGGATATATATGGAGGGGATTATGAACGGTTCGGACTTCCTGGATGGGCAGTAGCATCAAGGTAACAAAATATAATTTTTAATCACAGTTTGCATCACACACTGTACGTTTGCAACACATTTACTCAAAATAATCCTATGCTCCTTTGATTGATAAGGGTTTGGCTGTTACAATGAAAATTACTAATCAAATAAATACTTACTACTAAATAAATGTTAATAGACAGCGTTAACTTTCTGGGAAAGCTGTATATTTCTACTTTTGAGTAAAATAATAGGTGTCCCATCCTGCTGAACATACAGAAGACAAAATTAGTTTAGTTGAGGCCACTTTTAAAATGCTTTGTTTTAATGTACCTGGGCAGTTCCACAAAGTTTACTAATACATTTTCCTTTGGAATCTATAGTCATAAGTTCATATTGCCTGAGATTTTGTTGTCTGTTGACCTCTTCAGTTTTATATCCAACAGAGCATCCTGGCATCCATTTAGATGTGTGCACTTCTAGGTTGTAATCTGTTACAACTGCATTATATATAATATTCTATAAATTAATACTTTATTGCATTTAAAGCAAGTCTTTCAGAAAAACAAAACCCAAATCCACTTCCTCCCCACTGTGGGTTAGATGCCCACCAGTATCTAAAATTTTCCTTATAATTGTTCTGATGCTTGAGTTTACCAGCTGCCTTGGTTTTCATTTATTTATTTTAATTCTCATCTGGTGATCCCACCAGTAACAAATTCTTCTCCTACAGTGACAACACACACTGTACCTATGAAGGAGCAGTGTCTCCCCCTCTCCATACCATAGGGGGAAAGTGTTCTGTAGTTCAGGTAGAGCACTGAGAACAGTGCTAACTAAATACAATCTGTATAGACAGAGAGCACAGGAATTTATCAGCTTAAAAGCTTTGTGGCAGGATCAACAGGTATACCTTAATTTGTACAACACAGGACACAGGCTGAGTATACATAGACCCTGGGTGATAGGAAGGTATCTTCAGTATATTGGACAATGGCCCTCCTCTGACTGTCTGTTTCCACTGTCCAATACTCTTGCCAAGGACTTTTCCAGCAGGCACTAAGGTGGAAACTTCCAGCAAACAAAGAGATGCAGATGAAAAAGGATGGTCTTCTCGCCTTGGGGCTGCATGGCTGTAGGAAATTGAACAATGTCTGCTTTTATACATGTATAAGTTTCCCCTTACTATCTGTCTGAGGGAGGGGGGTGGCAGGTGCTGCTGCGGCTATGGAAATATGTTACATGTTCCAAGCTAAAAGGGTGGAACATGTAACATGTTCCAAAGGTGAACTTATCCTTTAAAAGTGAACATGATATGACATTGCCAGGGACACCCTCTGATTTTTTTTTCTCAACATTCTATTTGCATGGACCTGTGCTCAAACTAATGCCTTTGCCTGTGGACTTTATATTTCTAATGCAGTATGCGTATACAGCAAAAATCATACAGGTGTGCACTGTGGTACCAAATGTCAAAAACCTTATGTGCTTGTGCACAACTAATTTGGCCAATATAAATAAAATGGCCATCTAGACTGCAACATGTAAATCTCCAGTACAATGGCAACATTAGCGCACAGCTCAATAAAAATGGATATATGAGTATGATAGCCACAGTGTTACACTGTTTTCCTGTAGCCCTTATCATGTTGGTGCATTGCGTAACTTGTGCTACAAGCCCATATATTTTCAAGAATTAAATGTTACTATGTTGTTAAAGGATAAATTCACCTTAAAATAAATAATAAATGCACATTTCTTGCAAGTAAAAAAAAAATGTTAATTTTAATATATTTAATGTATTTTTTTTTTTTCTTTCTTCAAAGCCTGTAAAGCTTTGCACCCGCAAAGAGCAGATCGTGGATACAGTGTCAGGGTATTGCAGACTGTCAGTATAATGTCTGACAGTTCCTTAGATATGGAAAGGTAGTTGCTGAAGTACGGGAAGTTCAATAGACTACAAGAGCTCCTTGCAGTTTATTGAGAACTACTAATCATCTGCCGCAAAGGCCAACGGTACCTGTAGGCATTCATTCACAGAGCTCTGTGAATGAATTAATGAAGCCGCCTTGTGGGCAGAGTCCCACATGGCTCTGCTGTTTTCAAAATGTGACAACGGGGGTGCAAGAAGAGCATCCCTGGCCAGGTGTCACTAGGATGGGGGATCGGGGGGAAGAAGAGGCAGATACTCAACATGTTACACCCCAGATATGTGTGTATCCTGTTGAGAAGATAGCTTCAAAGGTGAACTTAGCCTTTGAAGCTATCTTTTTAAATCATGTATGTCAGGGATTAATGCTGTAGGTTTTCCCCCATTTGCACATCATTTTAACTTTCTGGGTGTACATTACTTAGAGACTGTGCACAGTAGTACTCCAGGATGAATTGGGCTGAGCAGCTAACACATGGGAGCATTATACAGGTTATAAAGTTATTAAAAGTTACATTATAAATTTGGTAAAGCCTAATAAATATATATATATATAATTTTTTTTCCTACTTTTCATGTATATTTTTGTTTCCTTTTTTTTTTTTTTTTTTTTTTTTTTTTTTACTTGTGATTTTATTGCTATCACATAGGGGATCAAATCAATGTGGCCCTTCAACTGGGAGTCATGCTTGTAACTCTCAGTTTTGCAATGCCTCATGGGACTTGTAGTTCTACAACAGCTGGAGGGCCACAGTTGCCCACCCCTGCCCTATGTGATAGCATATGAGTGACAGGTCCTCTTTGTATGGGGGAGGGGGCAGTGTGTGCAAGGAGGGGGCAGGAAAGGAGCAGTGTATATGGTGAGGGAGCAGTGTATACAGAGAGGCTCCCTTATTGGCTGTCACTATATATCAGTGCCGGTTTTTAAATGCAATTTCTGTCTTTTTTTTTTTTTTTCTTAACTATAGCTCACAGAATTAGCTGTCACTTTCCCTGGAGCTAAAGGAAACTTTGTTTTATCTCGAGAAATAAACTAAACGGAAACTTTGTTGTTTTTAGCGGGGGGGGGCAGGGAAGTGACAGCAAATTCTGTGAGCTGCAGTGAACAAAAAAAAAAGCCAGTAATTTACATTTAAAAACCGGTACTGACATATAGGGGTTTATTTACTAAAGCTGGAGAGTCCAAAATCAGACTCCCTTCTGCATAGAAACCAATCGCTTCTAACCTCAGCTTGTTCAATGAAGCTTTGGCAATGAAACCTGGAAGCTGATTGGTTTCTATGCAGGAAGGGAGTCTGATTTTGGACTCTCCAGCTTTAGTAAATAAACCCCATAGTGAGAGCCAGTCACTGTATACAGTGTTCCTCTTTTCTTTCTCAGCTGCCTCCTCACATCTGCAGTACATACAGTCTCCTGTATCGGCACCTGTATCGGCTAAATTTTTCCTATCGGCAAAATGCCGGTAGGGCTATTTTCTGTCGATATGTTTCTGTGGCCGAAATTTCGGTGCATCCCTAATATATATCTATTGTGCACCCAGAAAGTTAAAATGATATTTTTTTTTTTTTTTTTTTTATCTCAGCATTTTTGAGTTTGTGTAAAACTGGGCTTTCTCTATTTATTAAAGCATGTTTAGACTCAGACAACCTTATTCTCCCATGTAGAAGGAAAGGCAGTCATGAATGACATAGCACTTGAAGTAGGCATTCTGCAGCTACTCTTTTGCTGAGGCCCACTTTTTCATCTGTCCCACAGTGTTGTGAGGCTGCAGTGAGACCACCATATTAATGGAGGTGCAAGATATCACTGGGCAGCTCTTACTGTTCCTAGACCTGGACCATCAATGTAATCCAGTGATCGGCAGCAGGAGTGGACAAGATATGCTTCCTGACAGGCTCCTGTGAGACGTGAAGAATTGTAGCTGCCTAGGCACTGTGACATGCAGAAAAGCAGCTCTGCTGCTTCTAATCAGAGATTATAAGCTAAAGGTGATTTTTTGTTTTGTTTGTTCTTTACACTGTCGTAATAACCCCTTCCTGCCCAGCCCCAGCGCCCCTTTCATAGGGTCTGCACACCTGGAAGGGGAAGGAATGGCTGATCACATGACCACAGTGACTGTCACAGTAATCACATGATTGGGAACAGGTTCCACCAACTCCCAATCATTAATAAGGACCGAGAGCTGTCTTCAACAGTCCAGTCACTGTGCTAGGAGTGCTCAGTGAGCGTGCTGCCAGCACAGAAAGCTCTGCCACCCATAGATGTATATGTGCAGTGTGTGGGCTTTAAAGCCCTGTCTCTTTGCCGATAGGCATATGCATTACATTGGGTGCAAGAGGTTACAGAATGCTAATTTAATTTGTTTTACAGGCACAATTCTGCTTTAATGCAGGTAGCCTTGTGCTTTTTCCTTAACCTTTGCATGAGATTGGATAACAGTTTCTCAGACTTGTTAAAAGGGATTAAGAGTAGAAAATAAATGCCCACATCATGGGTCTGGATATATAGTGTTTCCTCAATATAAACAGATGGATCTCAAGTATAAACATTTAACCTTAGAAATGTTTTTACACAAATCAGGTTCACTTGAAGTTGAGAGTAAGCATAAGCCACCTGCTTTGTAATGGTTTTAGGAGTAATAAATGTGTAGTCTACGTATATGAATGAGAGCCTGTTTCAAAGTGCTTTTACTGCTTATGAATATGTAAATACTTTAATGCCCATAGAGTGAGCACAGGGTTTTTTTAAATTCCCGCTATAAAGAACCATATATTATTCTACACCCAACTGTATGTGGTTTCTACTTGTATAAATGGTATTTAGTATATGCTTTTTTTTAATTTCCCAAGCCTTTATAATTTTTAGAGATTTTACATCAGACAAAGTTGTCAGGGAAAAGTGAGTTACAGGGCTTCGGGATAATAATTCCACAATTTAAGGGAAGCTTTTCCCTTCATGTCTGTTTGGATTATCTTAGATATATCATTTCTTTCCATATTGTTTTTGTTTTTTTTTTCTTCAGAATGCTTTCAATCATGGAGTTGTGTATTCCTCATTTTGAATTATTGATGCCTCTTTTCAATTATGTTTTTTTTTTTTTTTTTTTTTTATAGTTTTGGCAATATGATATGCAAAGATAAACGAGAGTCTGTTAGTAAAGAAGATCTGGCTCGTGCTACATTGGTAACAATTACCAATAATATTGGATCAATAGCAAGGATGTGTGCTGTCAATGAGGTAAAGTTTAAGTAATGTTGATAGCAGCTTTTAGCAATTTATCAGGTGCATTTTACCACCTGTCCACAATTGCCATTCTGCTGCTTTTTTAGGTGCTCAACCTCAAAACCTTAACATATGAGCACATTTTTGACACATCGGATCATCAGGCCAAATAAACATCGGATCTGGTGCCACTAAACGTACTTAGCTACTGCTGACCAGTAGGCAAACTTCCTTTTCTTCCTTTTTTTTTTTTTTTTTTTTTTTGCGCAACTCTGCTGGCATTGTTGCTTTTGTAGTCAGTCTGATCCTGTCATTCCTGCTTTTTCTGCACTTCATGTACAGTAATGTAAATAAATATGATGTTGATGTATGCATACCTTTTTAGGAAGATTTGTCTCATGTCTTTCAGCTTCTTTATAGTGCTGCCTTGTTGACTATAAATCAAGCAGCATTGTACAGGGCTATGAAAGCTGTGAGATATAACCTATCTGTAATTATTTTTTGTTCAAATATATTTTAAAATGATACTAAATTCACTTTTTGTTATAAAGTAAATGCAGTGTGTGTGTGTATGTATGTATGTGTATATATATTCGTGTGTGTATATGTATGTATGTGTATGTATGTATGTATGTGTGTGTATATATATATATATATATATATATATATATATATATATATACACAATATAAGTAGAATGTACAAGATTTTTTCAGTCAGTCCTCACTGTCTACAGAAGCAATGTTTCTGAATCAGTGCAACCTTGGGAGCCGTGCCCATGCTGTGGGGATGGCCTGTGATGTTGCTTTGGGCACTGTATCCTACATGGGCTGCTCACCTCAGCATCTGGTGCAACACATTGTTTACTGCAGAATGCTTTACAGGTCCAGGGCCATGATCTATCACAATGGAACTCAGTCCCTGAAGACCGCTTCAGAGGTATGCCCATTGTGAACTGCCAAGCCTGGACTACAGTCCAGCGTATAGAACAGGTAAGACCGGTATTACTAAATACCTTCACAATGTGCTCAAAAAATACTGATGAACCTCTTGTAAATGGTATGTGGAAACAAAAATGTCCACATATATCTATTCAAATATACACGTGTACCACTTTAAAGTGTTACTAAACCCAGGACTCTGCATTCACTCTATCTGGTCTCCCACAGTACATGGAAATGCACTTATTTTAGCAAATATAAACTAATTACTTTTCCTCATCAGCAGTTAGAACAGTCTTGTGACTTCTATCAGCAAAGAAGAGTAATTGATTGATAGGTTATACATACATTTTAAGACACTGCTGCCTCTGACTGCTAGTCTCAGATGATTTGAAGTGAGATTTGCTCATATCACTACTCTCTTGCATGCTGTTTTCCTTGCTGGGAATTCTGATCTGCAGAAGCCAAAGCCCTGCTAAAATGGAAACATGCACATTTGAAACACAGTGCATAAAAAGGCATTGTAAGTCAACAAAAGAGAAAGATCAGGTGCAGTGAGACCACAAGTAATACTATGGTGACTAGTCTTTTGTCCTCTGCCTGCCTTTTTTGGGCAAGGCTTCCACAGTTCAGTTCCTTTTCAAATATATTTAGACTGAATGCAAGCCGCTCCTAAATAATGTGGGTGAATGCGGTTTGGGTTCTCTATTTGTATGTTTTAGTTTTTCCTCTGGTGCTTTTCTGCTTTATTTAATCAAGACTAATACTAAATATTTTTTGTTTTCTAGAAAATAAACCGAGTCATTTTTGTTGGCAATTTTCTCCGTGTTAACACACTGTCTATGAAGCTTCTTGCATATGCATTGGATTATTGGTCAAATGGTCAACTCAAAGCCTTGTTTCTGGAACATGAGGTTCGTATTAAGAACATATTTTTATGTCTTTATATGCATACAGCTGTTTAGGTTGTATGCACACAAGTCCCTTAATCATCAGAACCTAAAGATTCAGTTCACTTGTTCTCATGGTCTAAAATTAAATACTTGTATAAATCTAATCGCTGCTTTAATTGATTTTGTTTATTATTACCATCTTTAAATCGGAGATCTCTGCAATATAAAAAAAAGTGTGCTCATGTTTGACAGCACAGTGCAAAAGGCTTCAGCACTTCAGACTCCTTTTCTGGAAATGTATTCTTCAAAATGTGAAATAACAAAATAAGATTACTGAAGGATACTATTATTTGCCATGCACAACACATTAAAGGCAGCTCTAGTTTAGAGAACTAAATGCAGGGCTGAAAACCTGGTGAAAGAGGAAAAGAACTAATTTTCATTGGGTCGCAACCTATGTGTTAACCACTTGCCCTCCAGAATATTTATAGAATTTATTGGAATGGAGAACAGTTGACTGTTTTTTCACCACTCTCCACTCTACCCCTCCAGCGCTTACTGGAGCATCAGGCTGGGGAAGAGGGTGGGCACAGCTGTCTTCAGCTGACTGCCCTATGCTGAGAAGCAGAGTCCACTGTCAGTCAGACAGGTGGGTGGTTCCCAACAATATGGTTGGGACCCTTCCAGAGCCTAGAGCAGCTTTGTGACATTTACTGACAGTGGGTCCACCTATTAGCTGATTCTGGGTCACAGGAGAGCAAAAGTAAGTTCATTCCTTTTTGTCCCACAAGAGAAGTATGGCAAAAAAGAGACTTGACCATACTCTTTTAAATATGGTTTGCATCTAAGTAAACAGGTGTTTGCTGTGCTAAGGGAGAAGTTTATGGGAAGGCAGTAGGAGTATTTAAACTAGGATTAAGGGGGAGAGAGAGTTAGAATAGAATGTACAGATAAGTCAAGCAGGGGTACAAACAACCATCAGCAATTACAGTACTACAAAAAAGATAAGGGAAATGCAATGCCACAAGTCTACCAAGAAAAATAGGAGAGTTGTAAGCATTGGTGCCTGAAGAGAACTGTGGTTTAATTGGTATTTCTGAACTGTGGCTTCATTCTTTACATGACTGGGCTGTTAATATTTCTGGCTATTCTCTTTCGAAGAGAGAGAGGGTAAAACGAAAAGGTGACAGTGTCTCTTCTCTATGTGAGAAGTGATCTAAAAGTGAGTGTAAAAGATGACCTGGTTAATGGAGATTGTGATTGTTCTGAGGATGTATGGGTGGAGCTGAATATGCAGGTACAAAGGTAATTATTGAAGCTTAAATGATAACATAAATAGAATCAATGCTGCGTTGCACGTACATAAAACTTAACATGAATAAACAAAATGTGAGTAAAAGTGTAATGATACAAATCAATATAATAAATAAAATGTCCATGAACCAAGTCCATAGTAGGCGAAATAATCAGTGTATTACGGACAATCCAACTCTTCACAGCCCATTTGCTTCTTCGTGTGATCAAACCCACACCATCAGATCAGTGCTATAAACATGCAGACAGTGTCACCTTAGTGCTCACAGAAATCTCACCTCCAAGCAATCAAATTGCGCTTTGTAATGCCAAATCTGTAAGGATTCCTTTACTCTCCCGATTAACCATGTAGAAGTGATACAACATCTTTTAACTTTTTAAAACATCAAGCCAGATATAGGATCCGGTCCCTTTGGGGGGGGGTTGGAGGTCTGAGATAATCGCCCTTAATGGAGGAGACAAAAGGACACTCCAGTGGTGCAGTATGTATTAACAATTGTGTCTTTATTATGTTAAGAGGTATTGAACTCATGTGCAAATAAATATAAATGCCATAAAACAGGTTAAACATCACCAGTTCCAGGCTGCACTTTCAAGTCCTGTTAAACTCAATTACGTCTGCCCACGGGCACTCCCTTATGCATTGCATCACACTCACGTGACTTCATCAGAGGGAACAGTTAGTGAAATGGTGAAGCTGCTGCTAGCATTCTCTCTATTAGGTGGCGTAGAAGTTTATATTTAGTTTTTGTTTATCTATTGAAGCTTGTTACAGGCCACACAGAACTACCCTGAAATTGACTGGAGTAATGTGGCTGGTGGAGCAGTGAAATAGGGAAAATTTCTAAATCTGGTGCAAGGTAATTTTATGGTACAGTTTATAGAAGCCCCAACTAGAAATTATGCTCTGCTGGACCTGGTATGGGGGGGGGGGGGGGGGGCGGGAATGCAGATTTTTATTACTAAAATTCATATAAAAGATCATCTAGATAGTAATAACCATAACATGATTTAATTTAATGTTTGCGGTCAACAAGCACATGCTGAAGTGATGAAAAAACACATTCCAAGAGTGAACATTCTCCTCTTGACGGTTGCTCTCCAATTAGATTGGAAGTAGATATTGTCATCAAAGTTAAAAAAAGCAAAAATGTGAATGTTTCAAATCAACTGTATATAAACACACTGCATAAAATATCCACATGGACAGTGGTTTTAAAAGGAAAACCTTTGTGGCACACGCCCAAAGTTATATTAGCCATAAAGAACATTATCCTCATTTGAAAGTTACAAAGTATATAACAAAATATGTAAAAAGTAAATAAAGGCTGCAAAATTTCAAATTGAACAACAGGTTGCAAAAGAGTAGGACTAACCGCAAAAGTATAGTAAATAGGTCAGGTCTGAGCATGTAGGACCTTTACAAGATAACTTGTGGTTGTTGACTGGGGAGAAAGAGAAGACAAATTTATTAAATACTTTTTTTCAGCTCTATGTATACAAAGAAAAATGGAGGAGCTCAAGTCCATAATGGGGATAGTGTTACCATGTTAATACTATATGAACATATATATACTATTAATACATATTAACCTAACCTAGCCCAAGAAAACTGTAATGGCTCAGATATGGTCCAGAAACATTTAGACAGAATAACGCACCTGGACCAGATGTTATACGCCAATGTTTCCTCAGAGTCGAGTAGTGTTATTCTAAGACCATTATTTCTATTTTTTTAGAGACTCTAATGACTGGTGTGTTACTGCTTGATTGCACAAGGCCAATTTGGTGCACATATAAAAAAAAAAAAAAATAAAGAAAAAAAGATCAACGCCTTTACCAGGTGAACTACAGACTAGTTACTTTAACTTCTATAATTGGGAATTTTATTAAGAAAACTACATAGAAGCATTTTTTCTAGAAAACTATGTTATAAGAATTATTCAGCAAGGATTCACAAAGGATCAAAGTTATCAAACAGATCTACATAGTTCCCCACACATGGCTAATGGGTAGATTAAAGACTGTAGGCTTAGAAAATTCAATTTGTAAATGTCTAAGGGTCAGTTCACACTATAGAAACACGGTCCAGATGCATTCCGGACGCACTTCTGCATGCACGTTTTTGGTGCGTCCCGGTGCATTTTTGACACATACTGGTGCATTTTTTATGCGTTCCAGTTAATTTTTTTTCCTTCAATTTAAATAGGGCCATGTTCTGTGCAGATAAAAATGCAGCCTGTTCTACTTTTTTTTTCTGCATCCGGAACGCACTGGAACTTCAAGCACTGATGTGAACTATGACATTGACAACCATATAACCTACTTTCTGTGTGTTTTGGATGCAGAAATAAAGCAGACTGAAACGCATGTAATGTGAACTGGCCCTAAAAGACTATATTCAGAGAGTAGTTATTTAATGATTCATACTCTGAATGTTCTAAGGTTATTAGTGGTGTACCCCAAGGTTCAGTGTTTACGTTCTTACCTGGAACAAGTTTAAAGTCAAATAATCTGACACTTATTTACAGCATGTTTGTTAGGGGTTAACAGAGACCTGAAAATTATATGGAGTGTTCCTCCATAGTGAAAAAAGTTGATAAAGGTTCTCTAGAGGAAAATATTTAGTATATGATTATCTCTTATTTGCATACCTGCTCTAATTTTGTTTTTGGTTTTTTCTCCATCAGGGTTATTTTGGTGCTGTTGGTGCTCTGTTGGGATTGCCCAATTTTTCTTGAATTGCAATAAATTACCAAGCTAAAGAAATCTGACGCTTTTTTTTCCACCAAGTTTTAAAAATGCATCGTTTGTATACAACAAAGAAGAACTATGGCTCAAAGTTGGTGGGCATTCATATTTTTTTTTTTTTGCGGTGTTTTAACTTGCTAAGTTAATGTCATGAGTAGTCCACTGGAAAGCCATCACGGTCTGCCATCGAATGGAACATACGCAGTGCTTGCCTCTCAGTAGTTATTATTTTTGTATGCTGAACTAGTATCAAGAACGAAAAAAAGTGAACCTACTGTGCTGCACTGACTTTAAACATTCACATTCATAGTGTTATTGGCAGCTAATGTCTTAACATGGATTTTTTCATATGATATGCATCTAATATGTTTTGTCAATGCCACTAATTTAAGTTTTGACCGATCTTAACTGTGATAAAGCTAACTAGAGTTAATTTAGTCATTCCTTTCATTGTTATGAAGAGTTTGTGGCTTTTCATTTTAAGTAGCAGTTTGACCATTTGTTTTTAATTTACATTTCTCCCAGCATTTATAAGGGGACACAACAGATCTTTGGTTCTAGGAGGAGGAGCTTTGCATCTGAGGCTGGAAACTAGGCAAATCTGAAGGTACAGCTCATCCGAGTGTCTATATACACTACATGTGTTGATTTGAGCCAGTTTAGCTTAGTGTCCTTAGGAAGGAGGTCGTCTATCTCCAACACCATAAGATCTAGGCGTTTTAAGATTTTTTTTCATTATAATTTATACTCCTGAACTGCTGCTGGCCATGTCATACTCGACCTTCATATCTTGAAAATTCATCTTCGCACCTGATGTGTAGGTCGGTATCATACTCCATATTTCACAAGTCAGCAATTATCCCAGTTTCCAATTCTGCTTTTTCTTAGGACTAAGTGGTTCTCAGATCTGGCTTTGGAACCTCAGTTCCCTGGGTTAGAGAGGTAATTTAGGCAGGGTACACGATACATTCTATTCCACTTGAGGGGCTTTTTTCTGCCAGTCTCATTTACTCACCTCTACAGGATGCAGCTATTTGCAAGTCTTTACAAGGCATTTTTTTTTAGGTAGTTGTGCTTACTGAGGGGCTTGTACCTTTTTGATTTGCTTAGTGCCCCACTACACAGAAGCAGAGAATATATCCAGAGGCCTGGCGTGTCTGCCCCCCCCGTGAACTACTGGAGAAAAGGATTTTATGTTGAGTGCAATTTTTTTATTTTTTTCTATTTTTACACATATGCCATGTGATTGTTTTGCCTTAATGTACCAACCTGAGAGTTAATTTCTGTCTCATGTACAGCAGGTGTATGTTAGAAATTGTTACATAGATGTGACCACATTTAGGCCAGCTTCACACCTATGTATTGTGCTAGCACACAGTGTTGATCAGTGAAGCAATGCAGTGCAATTCATTTCATTTTTGAGAGGCAAATTAAAACCCCTTGTGAACACACATCGATGCACATTTGTTGGAAAAAAAAGTCCAAGCCTGATTTGGCGCTGCTCTAAGTCAACACGCTGTGTAAGTGTGAAGGTGCCCTAAGAGTTTATTGTATTTCATTTATCTATTTTTCTCTGACAGTTATGAGTCACTGTTGAAATCAATACTGTTAATTGTAGCAGTAAGGATGGTATCTTTTTTTTCTTTACTGTATTACATGAAGCTGTATATTTTTGAAGCCTTAATTTTTAAAAGTACTTCTGATAAAGTAAAGTAAAAAAAATGTTTCCGTTGAGGGACACAATAAAGCATTCACCTACAGGTAATACTGCAGTCTATAAGAGGATTGGTCTTATAGGCAAGCCCAGAATAACCCCCACTACCAGCATGGTTCAGTGTTTTGCTAGTGTCTTGATGATGTATGTCTTTTCTTCAGCTCTGTGGGAAAAAAAAGTCTAACTCAATTTTGCTAGCATTATCTTTCTTCTACTTTTTTTTTTTTCAATTAAGACTCTTTTCTACATCACTGCTAGAGCTGGTCTCTTTGCATAGCTGACTGGCTGTCTTCAGCCCAGCTCTTGGAATGCTTTGTCGACACCCTGCTGGGCTGAATGTTTCAGGGCTAGCCCGGAAGTGACCTTCAGGCATTGAGTTCTGCTTACAACACTTTCTTGATCTCTTCATGTGAGGGCCACAGCCTTCAACCTGTTCCTGCTGCCTATCTACTGTGACCATGGTCACTTCTAGCCTTCCAACCCTAACATACATCCAGCTGGTTTATGAGTACCTCAGGCATTGCCTCATCTCCTGGGTCCAGTCCACCCAGTTGTTTGCTCGTATGCTACGCAGAGTCCACAAGCACACTCCCTCACCTTCTTCTGCTAATTCTGTGTCTGATCTGCTGGGTGAACTGCTCTCTGAGGAGTTTCAGTCTTCTGCTATTATTTCCAAAATAAAATGTTTGGTCACGTTTTGATCCAATGCATACCACTCTGAAAGAGAATTAAACTCTTTCTATCAGTTTCTACCTGCTTCCTGTCAAGAGACCTTATAATATGTTTGCCCTTTTGATAGATGTTTTGCCCTAAGTGCCTATGAGCTATAGTTGTGATGAGCTGATTTCCCATCTCATCTTCCATATGCGTCTCATCAGTATACACACTTTGGTTTAAAATGTTGGACTGCAGAAACAGCATCTAAAAAGCACCTGCTCTACATCGCCTTTGGGAGATGGCTGCAAGCTAGAGTTTTGACCCTAGCCCAATCTTGGTTTCTCAGTTCCAACCTTCCTGTGTCACAGCACAGATTAGCAGATCTTCAGGTAGCCCCTCTCAGGTCTTCTGAACCCAAAGAAGTGGCAGAATGGTTTCAGGGGTTTTACCTAACCTGTTCTTGGTTCCCAAACACATGCAAGATGGAAGGGAATCTACTCCATCTTGGATCTCAGAGCACTGAATGCCTTCAATTTAAGCTCAAAAATCTATATGGAATCCACCAAGTCTGTCATCGTCTCCCATAACCAGGGAGATTTCTTGGCTTCAGCGGGACCTAAAAGACCCATAACTACATGTCCTCTACTTTCCAGTGCATGTAGATTTATCCTATGCTTTGCTGTGGGCCCTTGCACTTTGTTTGTGGCCCTCTTTTGCACCTTGGATGTTCAAAAATGTGCTGGCCCTGGTACTAGCCATGTGTGCTTGTTGTACTCTCATGACATCCACATTGTATAATACTTAGACAACCTCCTGTTGAGGGAAGAGTCAGTGCAGGCTCTGGTCCAAGCATTGGTTTCCATCATTTCCTTTCAAAGCACACTCTACTGTAGATCTGTGAGAACTTCTTAGGTTTTTCGGCATCAAGTTTCTGTTTCCCACATTTTCAGGGCTGCTTTGTTACCTGGTCTTCTGTTCAGAGGTTCTCTAAATTCTACCAGGTAGATAACATTGTTTTATACACAAAGCCCGTGGACCAAATCCGGCACTCCAGGCCATTTCATGTGGCCCTCACACCTCTCCTGTAGCTGCAGCACCCCCTTCATCTCTGCCCTCCCACCTCGTCTCAGTAGTCAGCAGCAGAGAGAACAGAACTCCTACAGATCCGTTGACTCTCTGTGCTGCTGCAGCACCCCCTCGTTTCCCACCTCCGCTGGGCCTCAGCATCCAGCCCCCCTCTCTGATCCCCCCGCCCCCAGTTTCTTTGCAGAAGCAGCAAGGTAAGAGGGTGCACTGTGATGTAAGGGAGGGTGGGGGACTCTTGACATCTGATGTAAGGGGGGGGGGATGCTCTGGACATCTAGTCTTAAAGATACAACCGGCCCTTTGGGGCAACCATAAGGCTGATGCGGGCCCCCCGCGATGAAATTGAGTTTGACACCACTGAGGTAGATGTTCAGGTCTTACCTGATGCTAGCTTGAAGTGTAAGGTCTTTCAGGCAGCTCTTTAAGCTGCAAGCAGTCCCTAGTTTTGTGTGTGTGTGTGTTTTCTTTTTGTTTTGTTTTTTTGGATGGGGAGGGGGTGTTACTAGCTTTTTTTTTTTTTTTTTTTTTTTTTTTTTTTTGTTTGTTTGTTTGTTGCTTTGCTGTCCTGAAGGCTAATGACTCCTTGTTTCCCTCACTGCATTAGAAGGAAAGTAGAATGTTTGTACTTAAAATCCTTTTTCTTGGAGTCCATTGGGGAACAAGAGTCACACCCCTCTGTTTACTATCGTGCTGTTGATAGTGCTTTGCTACAAACCTAAGGCCAGTGTGTTGTATGCCAGTGTTTAGTCCTCTTGTTGGTGGCAGTAGTATAAGGTAAATGACTACCTGTGTTCTCTTAATGTACTCCAAGAAAATATTTATATGGCAAGCACTATTTTGGGATGAAACACCAGATCCTTAAGTTACCTCACTTTAATGTATATGATTCATTGTGACTTTAAATGTTCGTCTCTGTTGCCTTATATGCTTGTAATCAAAATGGTTTTTCATACACTAGATCGCTGTGCCAATGCCAGCTTTTTAAAATCTCTCATCAATGGAGTTTTATAGCTGCTGAGATTCACAAAATCCTAATACGGATTCACTTATGAATATCTGGACCTCCTCCACCTCCGCTACTGTGATTTTGAAAGCTGCAGTTGACATAACAAGAGTATGTTGTGGAAAAGATCTTGATATAATTCTTTACCAGTGGTATTTTATTTATTACATATAGTCCAATTGTTCTTGACCTGGCATGTGCCATATAGCTGAAGTATTTGTAAATGTGCACTTTCTAGAATTTTTATTTACAGTAAATGTGATGGCACAATTATCGCTAACATATTGACGATGAGCTCAGATTTTATGGATGTAAATCGGAGCCAGTAGAAATATATGGCTCCCTTTTTTTTCTCTCCTTTTTTTTTTTTCTCCAGTATTTCACTCTGTATGGAATGCCTTACAATTGTATTGTCTGAGAAGAAAATGCTAAGACCTAAACTTCTGTTTACTTGAAAATACTTTGTAGTGTAACACACTGGGACACCTAAAATAGGGGTGGGCTGTCTGTTAAATTAACCCCTTTGCAGA